GATGGATGGATGGATGGATGGTCCTCCCAGGCTTTTTTAAATTCTGCTCTGTTTCCATCTGCAGGGAACCTCTGGAAGTGAAGGGGATCCAGGGGAGAAAGGAGAGAAAGGAATGGAGGTGAGTTTTCTGAAGGTTTCTGCTCTGATGAGCGAACAGAAAGAACAGTTTCTATGGACTGAGATGCAACAACGGTGAACAGAGACATAGCTGCTACTGTGAGCATAATGGAGATACATGCTGCTGCTCTCTAAGAGATTAGTCTGTCTATAAGCAGATGTGTTGTCTTTACATTTCTCTTAAAAGTCAATTCAGACAAAAAGTAAAAAAAAAAAATCTATGACAGCATCAGTACCATGCTTTTTAGTAACTAAAAATAAAGTCATATCATGAGATTGATATAATAAATATAAAAGAATAAAGAAGTATTAACGCTCAGCCTGCACTTAGGTTGAACTTGGTTGTTAACTCTATCGACACTTTCCTCTGATTGAAGTATTTTTAAATCATTTTTCTGAAACCAATTCTGAATCTACAGGGGCCAGTGCCCCCGTCAAACTGGCCCCTGTTAGGGCCCGTGTAGTGAAAACACAAAATGTAAATATAAGTTCTTGAAGGCAGTTGCATATGGATTCAGATGAGTCATATATGAATAAGAAGACAAAACATCTCAATTATCCTATTTCAAGTGCGCATGATCTAATGATCTCATTTGAACAGCAGAAATACTCCTTCCTTTGGCAGATCAGCCTCAAATTAGGAGCAGCTGCACTTATTTTTAGAAGATTTTTACTTTTTTCAGAGCTGCGTTTGTAAATGTAAATCCCTTTATTGTCCTACGATGGGGAAATTTGTTCTCTACATTTATCCCTTCCCCTTAAAGAGCAGTGGGCTGCCATTGTGTGGCGCCCAGGGAGCGATCAGGGGTTAAGGGTCTTGCTCAGGAACCTAGAGTGGAGGCTGTGGGGATCAAACCGGATACTTGCAACCTCCTCAGAGCACAAGCAAAACTGCTCTAACCACTAGGCCATCACTTTTGCATTGTGACCCTAAATCAATTTCCTATAATGGGATGCATCATACGGTTCAACTGAGCTATGGCTCTGGGTGAGTTTGGAAACCTATGATTATTCTTATTCTCCTCTATTAATAAGAAGAAATATGCTGTTCTAGTTTTATAAAGGGTCATTTTATACAACAGTAAACTATTTTTTTCAGATTGAGTAGGATTCCTGTAGGCACGTAGACCGCCATTCTTTCTCCAGTTTCCTAGCATTATGTTGGAAAGTATGCAGCTCTGCATTAAACCAGGGAGCCATCTTTCTATTTTTAAAGTTTTTCTTTTTCAAAGTGGCTGCGTTTTCTAAAGCAGTATGCAGAAAACTAGTTAGACCCTTCGGCAGTACCTGCTATTTGTGAACATGAATAATTTGAAAAGCTGCTCTCTGCAGTATTGTTTATTGATACAAAGAGATAAAACATGGAACAGGTTCTTTAAAATTTATTACTACATTATCTGATTGTTATCTGCTAAATTGGAACCTCCTTCAGGGTAGAGCTTAGTTAAATTAAGCTTCAGTGTTACTAAAGCATAGTCAGATAGGGCAGATTTTTATTCACAGTCAGTGGCCGTATGTCAGCACAAGGTCCAAAGTATGAAGATTAGAATGTGTTGGACTATGCACATTTTGAACAAAGCCACTTGAGTCCAAGATATATTAAAGGCTGAATTTAGAGTATATCAACTTCAATATTAGCCTGGATTTTTTTAAATAGCTTACTATACTGACCTTGTCAGTGTTTAAGTGAGTAAATTAGCGTGAAAGATTGTTGCTATTACTTGTGCTCGCCCAGAATTTCTGGACATATAGAAACTAAAAAGCTGAAGGAGTTGCCTCATTTAACCTGACATAATCCTCTTGTTGCAGCTAGGTTTCTATAAGAAAAGATACCGTTAATAATTTTCAATGTAATACCAATCAAGTGATAAACTTATGTTAAATGGAGCCTAGGCGGAAGATCAACTGAAGAAACTCATTGCTTTTCTACATCCACCTGCGACACAGCCAATCAGCTTTGAACCACACCTCCGTTAAAGCCAATCAGCATCCAAAGTTTATCTTAAAAGAACTCCAATGCGCACCTGTCTGCTACTCTGCGCAGGCATAGGTTGCGCTGTGTGACGTCATTCAGATGACACCGTTTCAACCCCCCTCCATCCCCTCCTCCACCTTCGTAGCTAAAGCTTCATCAGAGCGTCATTCCTCCCGGACTCTTACTGCGTTTCCTGTCTCATCTTAACCGGTCCGTTAGAAGACCGCCATGTTGAGCCTGGTTCTGCCAGAGGTTTCTTCCCAACGGGGAGTTTTCCTCTCCACTGTCGCCTCATGCTTGCTTGCTCATCATGGACAGGTTCTCTCAACCTGTGTTATCCAACTGGATTCTAGTATCAGCTCACACAGTCCACTGGATCTCCCCATAAAACTCAGCAGACCGTCTCTCCAACCAGCAGTCTACAGACTGACCAACTCCATCTATCTCCACTCCACCACCAGTTTCAGGCCTGGGGGGGGGACAGCCCTGTTTATGCATATCAATCAAAGTTAAACGCTATGTTTCCTGCAGAGGTCTGAGCGCCAAACACAAAGTAATTGCATCAATACATTTCTCCTAATTGTCTTTTATCTTTGTGTGAGTTTTGCAGATTGAAGTAAATCATATTTAATTTAATGTAACCTTGGGATTTCAAGGCTGCACTTTAGAAAATGAAATAGAGAGTTTTTTTTACACTTCTGTATACAAAATGACAAAATGAAATATGTCTAAGTCTATGTCTAGTCCTTCAGGATTTTTTTTTTTTCTAATTGATACATTATGGTGGGCTAGACACTGCTTGGATAGGGTAATGGATGGGTCACAGTAGAGAAGCTGCAGAGAGGTGCGTTAAACTATGACACTGGATCTGCACCCTGGACTGTCAGGATCTTGGGGTAATAAATGTGGCCAGATTCCTAGATAGAAGAGCTGCACCATCCAAATGGGATGGATGCTTTGTCTCCGACCAAGANGCACCATCCAAATGGGATGGATGCTTTGTCTCCGACCAAGACCAGGTTTTACCCAAAAAATAACACGTCGTTTTATTTATTTATCATCTTGAACTCCTTTAAATAAAATGCATAATAGATTCCTGATCCTCCAGAAACAGTCTCACATTCTGTAAAACATCTTCATGTTTCCCTCTGAATTCCCAGAGAGATGTTTCAGTAGATGTCAGGGGAATGTATTTGTGATGTTGTTTTAACCTGCTGTATGTGCTGTAGGGTCGAGAAGGAGGGCGAGGTCTACCCGGTGTGCAGGTAAGGGAAACATCAAACCTTTGATGCTGATAACATTTAGAATGCTTAAGGGGGTTGATGATGTTTGATCTGCTCCTCGTAGGGTGGACCCGGTGAAAAAGGAGAACCAGGACTCCCAGGTGTTTCTGGAGTTTCAGGGACAAAGGTGAGATTAGTATAAAGGGACCTCAGTGAGAGTTTCCTCATCACTAACACGTCAGGTTTACCTTCCATGCTGCTAACTGTCAAAGCTATCTGCAGCCGTGCTTCCAAATCCTTCGTTTACCGCAAGGATGCAAAGTATAAAACATGGTTGAAGTTAGACCTCTTTAGTAATCTATGCTCACATTGGTTTCTATAAATGTTCTTCTCACTACTCTGACCATTTGTAACCGAGGAACCCACTTTGTTATTTACTAACCACATGCAGAGAACTGTAGAGCAGGGTCAATATCGGATGAATGTGCCCCCAGTCTCCATCAGATGAAAAGTGCATGTCTTCATTCCTGATGCAAAAACAGGCCAAACACATTTTTCAAGGTTTTCTGTTTTTGGCTGGTTCTCTGACTTCCTTAGAAATTCACCCGAGCTGTTTGCAGTGAGTGGAAGCATGTGTGTTTGCAGAGTTCAAACAAGGCTGAGATTTTCACACTGATGATGGTATTTATTTCCAGTAGTGAGCTCAGTACTTCAAATGCTTCGCTTTCCAGGCTTCATGTAGAAAACCTTAGAAGAAATAAAAAAAACTATTGTTGGAATGTAGAAACAGGATGTGTAGATTTGAGATTGCTCAGGAACAAAATGGATGAAATGAAAATGGGACTGACTGATTAGATCGATTACTGATTGATTCTGAACGGATCTGTGCAGGGACCCAAAGGAAACACGGGGCCGCGAGGACCAAAGGGGTTAGAGGGTTTTCCTGGAATTCAGGTAAGAATGTTGACTATGTTCCGGTGCCCAGCCTATAGAACCTCCTATAGCAGCCTATAGAACCTCCTCTAGCAGCCTATAGAACCTCCTCTATCATCCCATAGAACCTCCTCTAGCAGCCTANCCCATAGAACCTCCTCTATCAGCCTATAGAACCTTCTATAGCAGCCTATAGAACCTCCTCTGTCAGCCTATAGAACCTCCTATAGCAGCCTATAGAACCTCCTCAGGCAGCCCATAGAACCTCCTCTAGCAGCCTATAGAACCTCCTCTATCAGCCTATAGAACCTTCTATAGCAGCCTATAGAACCTCTTATAGCAGCCTATAGAACCTCCTCTAGCAGCCTATAGAACCTCCTCTAGCAGCCTATAGAACCCCCTCTAGCAGCCTATAGAACCTCTTATAGCAGCCTATAGAACCCCCTCTAGCAGCCTATAGAACCTCCTCTAGCAGCCTATAGAACCTCCTCTAGCAGCCTATAGAACCCCCTCTAGCAGCCTAT